TGAGAACTGACTTTCGAGAGACCTGGGAGTGACGGGATGCATGTAGAGGTGGTCGGCGAGCACGTCTCGCAGGTCACCACTTGGACCTCAATCAGGTCGGCAAGCCTTCGAGGGAGGTCGCTCTTCACGTCGAGGTCACTTTGGCCGGTACTGATGAGGTACCATAGGTCGGCCCTGGACAAGGTGCTACTAGCTGCCCTGAGTTATGTACGAGGTCGTGAGCTAGATTTCCACTAGGTTGGCGGTGGAGGTAGGTCGCCAGGTTGGCAGCAGAGGTAGGTCACCAGGTCGGCGGAAGAGGCAGGTTGCCAGGTTGGTGGCAGAGGCAGGTCTCCAGGTCGGCGATAAAGGCAGGTCGCTAGTTCGGCGATGGAGGCAGGTCACCAGCTGGGACTCCATCATTTTGGCTAAGGCAAGTCGTTGCCTAGGTAATGTTGAGATGTCATCCAACTGTTCTACGATGCCATGTGTCATGATGTCAGTGGAGGGCCAAGTCTGCCATCATCACCTTTCTCCAGTGTGGTACCTAGAAGCTGTTCTCTAACTCCATGCAAAAGGCTCTAAACAATATTGAGTAATGCCTCTATGGTTATTTAATGGCTATATTTCCCTACTAATATTGTCATCCATCCAAATAGGCCAGCTCAAATGTTCAAGGAATTATCAACAATGCATAAATGAGGTCTGAGATTTCTGCTATTGTCCCTTGCTTTTCACTACTTGATTTAGCTAGATAGATGAAGCAACGATAAAGAATCCACCAGGAATGTCAGTGATCTTTTCTCATGAAGAACCAAAAGCAGCCACAAAGGTTTTACATAAAGCTTATAGATAGAGAAAACTATTAGGACTTCATTTTAATTCCTATGAAATGATTTTTCTAAGGCTATGTTTGGTTTGAAGGAAAAAGTAGAGAATGGAAGGAAAAGATAGGGAAATCTTCACAAAACATGTATAGGTTTCTCTACCTTTTCCTTCCTTTTCCTACTTTTTCCCTTAAACCAAACATAACCTAAGAGGTCCGATGTAACTGTGGTGAAATGTTGAAAATATTCATCCAACTACAGTCGCTGTTATTGGAAAATTAGTAGGTTCAGTGTCACAAAGAGAATGAGTCGGCATGTGATTTTAGTGTTGAGAAATGTATTTTAGTTCCCAAGGTCAACTGGTAATATGCCAAATCCATGGAACTTCTAGATCGTCATGCTTCTAGTACTAGACACAGGAAATTTCAAGAGTATTTCAAGAGTAACTAGGTTCAGGCAGTACTCACGAAATTTCTTCATGTAAGAAGTATTTCAAGAGTAACTTCAAGAGATTGGTTCATGTGAAAAGAATTGTTGATCCAGGAAATTTCTTCAGAGATGAGCAAAGCATTCCATCAATTCCATCATGGAGATCTTGATTTTTTTTTTTTCTGAAAGTAAACAGATCTTGATTTGGATACATCTATAGCTTCTATCATGAAGTAAGTGTATGGATTTTGTATCTTCATCTTTTCTCTTGTATCTTCATCTGAGAGATTAGTAAGTAGAGCATTCAAGTTTTCCCCAGTTTAGGAACAAAAGTTGAAACCAAAACCAAAAACAATACAAAAATTAAACTGTTTGGAATGACAGAGGAGAGAGAAAATACCTAAACGAGTGAGGAGTCTACCGCTGGATAGAAAGAGAAAGAGAGACGAGATAGATAACCACAGGAGAGATTGGAGAGTGTCGTCGGTCGACGGATAACAATAGAACCGCTGGATAACACTATTCGCTAGAGAGAGAGAGACGAGAGAAAACAACTGGAGAGAGGAGAATGTCACTGAAAGTACTGTCGGAGTTTGAAGAATACCACCTCCGGAGCTTCATTCAATTGCCAGAGGGAGCGGTGGAGGCATGGAGTGCTAGGTCTTTAAAGAAATTTTTGCAGAAAATTCAAACTTCAAACGAAATGAAACGGACCACGGCTTTGTCCAAATTTGGTCCACATTATATATGGACCACTTAAATTTGGACAGGTCCGAGTCCATACAATTATTTAGACTATCTGGTCCGTCCATAATACCTTCGGATTGAACGGGATCCAACTTGAAACTGGTCCATTAACACCCCTGCCAATATCCAAGGCTCCAATATTGATGATGATCACTTTTTCACTTTTCATCTTTTCATTTTCTCTTGCCCGTGTATATATATCAAAACACAAAAACAAGGTTAAATACAGGGTAGAAAAGGGATAAATATCTGGTATCAATCTCCAAGACCATTCTTTGGCACCAAAAACCAGTGTTCAGCTTTGGAGAAGACAGATGAGTTGTTGATAGATGCCAAAGGCTACATATACCGAAATCACATGTTGTCATGTTGGTCTGGTAAATCATGAACCAATTATTATTGTCAAAGTTGAACAACTAAAAGTTTTGATAGATGATGGTTCGAATGGTCCCGATAGGCACAACGTTGTTAAGTATGAGCACTTAAAAAATTTTTTGACACCTTTCCCTTAAATTAAAAACCATTTTTCGCAGTTGTCATAATATTTATTAATTATTCATTGGATGTGCTTACCATATTGTGCTTATTTAGATCCAGTCCCTGGTTAGATAGCTCCCTTCGCAACTTTCATGACCAAACAGCTGTTTGGTTCCAATACTGAAAATTGTTGTTGGGTTCATAAAATTTGTATAATGTTAATCAATTGATGATTAAATTTAATTAATGCAAACCATAGCCTTATTTCAGACCAAGCGTGTTCTGATTTTCCTTGATAAAGAAAAACCATTTTAGGCATACCCATCTTAATTTTTAATCACTGAACTTGAATGGTTTTAAAAATATTGCAATAGGCACTGCATTATATCTATCTATCTATTTATCTATCCATCTATGCATCTATTTATCTATAATTTTTAATATATATTATATATATATATATATATATTATATTAGGGCAAATAAAGGAAATATGGGAATTGGGTTGGGATTTCTAATCCCACTGAGGTACAAGATGGGGATGGGGATGGGGTAGTATCTGAGTTCAGGATAAAAAACAGGATATGCAAAACCCAGTCCCACCCTGCTTCGTTGCCATACAATGCCATGCCTAACAGAGTAAAAGGGTCCAAGTACATAAGAATCCTAAACAGAGCACCAACCAGTTTATCAAAAGTAAGCCCCAACCAGTTATGTATATAATTTGATAAAGTGTGCAGGTTTCATTGTATAATTGCTCAAGTTGTATCTCAACAATCACATAATTGCTCAATTATGTATGCGTAATATTTCATTCAAGTTGTATTTCAATAAAGTGTGCCCTAAAGTTAGTAGGCCATAATGTCTAGCAAATAAATAAAACAATACAAAATTTCATTTCACAGGCTTTCATGAATTGGAAGGTGAAATCATGTGATCCTTCATCGCATTTGATCCTTGACATATCTCCAGCAAATTTAGGTGGTGTTTGGGAGTATTTTCTGTTTTTAAATAGGGTTTTTTAGTTAGCACTTTTTGAACAAGCTCTTATTTAGATAAGCACATTAGTGTTTGGTGTAACATTCTAAAAAGGGCTTTTCCAAAATATAAATGAGTTTCTTTTTTAAAAAGACATTTTGGTCGTGTAATATGGGCTTTCGTTTTAAAGGCTTTTTGTTGTGTAAAATGGGCTTCTTTTTTGAGAGGGGCTTCTCCAAAACGTAATAAGCAATAAGCCAAAAAATTTGGCTATTTTCTAAATGTTTTTTTTTTTTTTTTTATGAAAAAGCACTTTTTTTTTTTTTTTTTTTTTTTTAACTATTAACAAACGCCCTCCATAAATAATGTTTTATATATCTTTCTAAAATTAATAAGGGTCCAAAAAATTTCATGTCTTGTGCTGAATCTGGATTGTCAAGCCATAATAAGCCATTTTTCGGACCATAATCTCAAGGTAATAATATATATATAGAAAGAGATATCTACAGAGGCCAAGGTCTCTCACCAAAGGCCTCACATCGAGTCTCTCCTCTTTAATACCTAAAAGTTCCATCAATTAATTAATAATTTTTATCTTAACATGGGAATTTAGTGTTCCAAGGAAGACCATAAAACAATATATAGTCCAATTCAATGAACCGCACGCCCATGGACCCTTAATGAGTTGTAAAGGCAGAAACAATTGATTAATTCTTCATGGACAGTCACAGTACTCAGTACCCATTTTATTGATTAAATTCAGATACATGAATTTTTAAGTAAGATCTCTGATCTCTCTTGTCAAGTTTGGAATTAATAATTAATCAGAAATTCGGTTTCCACGCCTAATGCTTAATGTATCTCTGGTTCAGAAAATCTAGTTGAAATTTCTTCTCAGGTACTTGTGTGGACCTTTATTCATGGTAGTCTTATATTATAAAAAAATAAAATTATTCGATGTATAAGCTCAACTTCTCAAGTTGCGCTTCCATACATTGTATCCTAAAACTGTAGGGCCAAATGTCTTGCCAGCTAGTAACATAAATCTGTTGATTTCACCAGTGGAAAGAGTATAAATACAAATATGTACAGTGTGCAGATATATACAAAATATAAGGTTTTACATACTTCTTTCATACTGAGGCTAACTGTTTTGGTCCTTTATGAGTATATATACCCATCATATTTTTGCTGAACGTCTCTTTATAATATATAGAATCTATCAAACTAGGATTTTTGTCTCTTTCCGTTGATGCACATTAATGACTAAGAAGAATTAGTCAATTGTCAAAAACATAGTAGAGATACACTTAGTCAATTAACTTAAGGGTAGTTTAAAAAATTTATCCTAATTTTTATATTAAAAAATTTGTTTTTATTCTAAAAGTAAAAACCAATATTTTGTTGGTTTCAACAATAGTTATTAGTTTTTGAAACAAAACCAACTTTCTTTTCCTTTTGAAAATAAAAACGGGTTAAATAACATATTTTTATTTTTGATGTGACAATTCAAAAAAAAAAAAATGGAAACAAACACATTCCTACCGGAGAACGCCTCCTTGATTTGCTAACTTAGCCTGCCAGCCTGACCATTTCACAAATACGTCCACTTCATCAAAATACAAAGTAGTACTTAGAAATTAAAATTACACAAATACGTCCCCTTCATCAAAAGCAAAGTAGTGCTAGAAATTAAACCAAAGATGTTAGGACCTTAGGTGTCAATGTGTATCAAGTGAATGTTGACAGAGTTCAAATCTGCGCCCCACAACTGGGCGCCCCACGAACGCCCCACACGATCTGAAGGCGCCTAGTGTCCTCTCGCATGATTCCTCCCTCAGCAGTGGAGCTAATGGGACGGCTGTTAGCTCCAAATTCCTGCTACTCTCGACTCTTGACCTGACCTCCTCTATCTAACTTTGACCCCTGCACTCCATCCAAGCTAACGGCAAGAATTCCGGCGACGAAGACCGTTCCGGCAGACACATTGGAGGTATTCCCCGTTTGCCAGTAGTCTCCACTTCTCTCCTCCAACCTTCTATTCATCAATCGCTCCTTTTCTTCTTCTGCTCTAGGGAGGAACTTTTCATTTTTGATGGCCATGCCGGACGGGGCCAAGAAGCTAAAGACATTGAACTATCTCCGGTATGTTGAATCCTTGGCGGTTCTACCATCCAATGTCGGGAAGATCTCGCATTCGCATGCTGTAATCCTCGGGGAAGCGCTTGCTTCGGAGGAGAATGATCTTGTGTTCCCTAATGAGAGTTGTCTCGCCAGGCTCTGGTTCCATCGCGAATGAAGGTAAGTGTCAATTGATCTATGCAAGTCGGAGTATTGAATCAGTGGAAATCAATATTTTGGCGCGGTACTTGAATATGGGTGTTCTTTTTTTTTGCACAAAATAGGATTCACCGTATTTTAATAGTAGAAAGAGAACAAAATTTGATCAGGCGTTCATTGAATATGGATATTCTTAATTTTGAATGTGGGTGTTATTACATAGAATTCACTTCTATTTTTATTAGAAAATCCAAGTTTTGATGCAATAAAAAAAAAAAAGATGAGAATGAGTAGGGAAAAACTGAACCTGTATAATGGTTGGGTGGTCGCCGGTGATCTCCTTTCCCTTCTGTGTTTTGTATTGAAAATAAAATAAATAAAACATGGAAAAGATGTTAGAGAGGGATGAGATGAGAGGGACGGGGAGTACCTCCGATGTGTTTGTCGTTGCCAGAGTTGTCGCCATTAATTTGGATGGAGGAGTGCAAGGGTCAGGGTTACAGAGACGAGGCCAGGTCAAGAGTCGAGAGTAGCGGAAATTTGGAGCTAACGGGACGAGATAAGGGGGAAATCGTGTGGAAGGACACTTGGCGCCTTCCGATTGTGTGGGGGCGTTTGTGAGGCGCAGATTTAAACTCATGTTGACAGTCTCTTCATAACAAGTACATATGAAGCTCGAACTAACCACATGAAATTTTATTTTGATAGACACTTAGACAGGACAGCTCAGTAACTTAGTCCTTGGATATGACATGGGACAATTTGCTGCGGCAAACAGCAGAAATGGGTCCTTTTCGAGTTTGGACCTGAATCGTCGTTTGTTCTCAAGATGGTAGGAAGAAGTAAGAATATGGTTTGTTATTTTAGAGAGGGTCTGATTACCATTTATCAAAAAAATTTTAGACGCAAGTAGGCAACTTGTTGCAACTTTTGGATGTATTTCTAAACAACTTTCTCTTAGCTCGATTAAATTAATTATTTTTTCTTTTTCCATTCTGGTTCTACTCATAGTGGACACTCGATCGACATTTTCTTTTCCCTTTTGGCCCCGGAGAATGAATCACACTCATCGGTTGGTTGGAACCAACAATTAACTGGTGCCTGGTGGATCTCGATTCTCCCATAAATCTTTGTTAACTAGTCATTTCACTGACCAACAAATTAAAGTACTATTTTCGTTTCGTGTAGAGAACAAATCACGTTAATCAAGTTGAAAGGGGTCACCCGTCTGTAATTTTATTAAGTGGGTCCAATGAATGCAAATTGGTTTTTCAAGTGGTTATACAAATTGACTACTCTTGTCTCCAAAACTGAGTGAAATCGAAGACAGAAGCATGTGATCACTTAAGTCCTCCCCACGATGGTTTAATTCTCTCTATATATACATATCAACGTGCTAACGGTTTCCTGCAATTCTCTGATCAAGTCTTGAAAATTTCATCTCATCCTCCATTGAGCTAATTAAAAGCCTGCCTTCCCTAGCTGGTTTTATCAAACTCTCAAGAAATCTCTTGTCATTGTTGTTGTTGTTGTTGTTCTTCTTTTTCTTGCTGCATATCGATTGATTAACAGCGCGCGAGCCGCCAGCGCCATGGGCATCCAATTACCAAGGATTATCAAAAAGTCTCTTCTTGCTGCTGCAAATCAGTCGGCTGGGGGTGCTGCTTGGAAGGCAGAAGTTCCAAAGGGCCATGTTGCTGTATACATTATTGGAGAGAAGCAGAGAAAGAGATTCGTGGTTCCCATATCTTACTTGAACCATCCATTGTTCCAGGACTTGCTGAATAAAGCTGAGGAAGAGTTTGGGTTTGATCATCCAATAGTGGGTGCTCTTACAATTCCCTGCGACGAAAATTACTTTCTGGGTCTTACTTCCCAGTTGAATTGTTTGTGAGTGTTGGATCGGGTTATATTAATATGTACGTAGTTACTTTAATACACAACTAGCAAGCAGAGAGAATCTGCAGTGCAGCATCCAATCCATCCTCAAGCTTCTGTTGATGGGTTGAATGAATTTTGACTCTTTTAGATATCATCAAACGTGTAAATTCTTTCTTTCTATTTCGTTTTCTCTTATTAATTTGTAAAGGACTTGGGAGGGATAGGGAGTATAAAGTGTGCATGGCTAAAGAGCTACAACTGCAGATACACTGTCCAATGTAATTAATATATATCATAATTCATATCATAAGCTTGATCTAAAAAAACGATCGATGCCGACGATCGGTGGATATATATTCAAGTTCCCTTGATTTTATTCCACCCAATTCAGGTGGACCAAACCAGCAATACTTGATGACAGAGTCCTAGAAAGATTGATTTGGAACCAAACCAATCCAATCCGGCCGCCATCACTCACTCTTCCTCCCCCCTACCCCCTTTCTCTCTGTTGATCTCGTGATAAGGAAATCGCAGAGGAAACAAAACAACGATCACAGAGAACGACAAGAAGAAATGGGGTTTGGGCTTTGGTCTGCACGAAATAGTCATTCAAGTTGTTATATATCGTCGGAGAGCTGAAGTTGTTCTACATGAGTAGTCTACACAAAACAACGATATCTCATGGCCAGAAATGTGTTGATGATCTACATGAACGATCGTTGGAGTTGATCTGCATGGTCCACATAGAATGACAATCTCGTGGCCAGAAATCTGTTGATCTGCTTCAACAATCATCGGAGTTGTTATCGCCGGTCATAAAGATTGATTGCAGGGGAGGCTTTGGTTGCACTCTTCGGTGATGTGAGAAGACATCTCATAACTTAAATGCCATTTTCCTCATTTACCCCTACTTTCACGTGTACAACGACCAAACGTGTTCGTTATTTTAAAAGGACGTTTGCGGGAATTGAGATTTTCTACCTAGAAAATAATTTGAAAATTCACACTCAAATGGCATTCTCATCCGACATCCCGGGGAGTTGCGAGAATCGCTAAAACTGATTCTCTGGAACGATGCCAAACAGGGTCTAAAGGGCTGAAATCACAATTTCTCTAGAAATTAAAAAAGAAGCCTCTTTTGAAGGGGAATTACAATTACCCTAAGGCATGGTTTTCAAAATCGGACCAGACCGGACGGTTGGACTTGAAAACCGGGAATCAGTTAGATGACTGGTTCCATTTTTCTCCAAAACTGGATTTTTCCCAAAAACTATTGATTTTGGTCAGCAAACCGCTGACTCGAGTGGTTAACCGTTTGAATCGTTCGAACGATTTTGACCGCTTTTTATTATTTATTATTTTTTTTGTTAGAACAGGCCGATCGTTCGACCTGGGAACTTGACCTCTCACCAGTTCATTCTACGATTCGGTTTTAAAAACCTTGCCCTGAGGTTCCTTTTCTCTAAGCTCCCATGGCGGTACTGACCTGATCCATATTCAGTTTGAGGGTTCAACCCGAATATAAAGAGATATAATTTGTGGTGTATTCATCTTTTGGCTGAGAAATGTGTTGAGAGATTTGTATTTTTAGATTTAATTAGGGTTTTCTATGAGAGAAATTGTGCATAATTCTGTATTCTCCATTATTGTTCCCGTAGCGGATTTCAGCTCCTCATTTGTTCGTGGACATAAACCATAAGCTAAAACATGTAAATCTATATATGTTCTGTTTCTTAATTTTCTGTATCTTTTATTTTATTTAATTTTCTTGTACCATTTGAATCTGTGTTTTTAGGTTTTTTCACAATAGTTGTGAATGATTCCAACCTATGCAAAGGAAGATATTAAAACAACACTTGTTGACAAACATCCCCTTAATTAGTTTATAATAATTGAAAATTTAAATTAGATATGAGTGTCCTGACCAAATTAAAGGGTAATGGCAATATAGCTAGCTTCTGATTGTTTCCTCTTAATTGAGTGGAATATAGAGATCCACTGCAGTGATCAGCTAACTTTTGTTTACAATTTTGCACCTTGACCCAAAGGAAGAGTTCACCATGAAAAGACGAGAATCTTATCGTTCCTGGTGAGGTTAATTCAGACAAGTGGAAGATGAGAAACATGAATGTTGCAACCTGGACACAAATGGATACAGGAGAGTAAATCTATATCTATCTACCTGTATTCATCCTAGGAAGAGAGAGATAGAACAAATCAAATATTAATAAATTAGATTTTATTTGCATGGTGGTGGTTTAGACGTGAAGCCAAGACAATGAATATCGGCATCATATAGGAAATATATGCATGATTTTATTGTTAGTATACTATTATGGTATTATATATTAAAAAAATTCAATAATTTTAAATAAATTTGAGTTTATCTGACACAAATTATTGAATTCAATAATTAATACAATCACGTAAACCTGTTGGTTGGTCGGTACTTTACAGGCTCAAGGAAGAATCTTTATAAGGTTGGCTGCACAGTACGTACTATGTACATGACCAGCAGGGTCTATGTTCAGTGCTTCTGTAAATATGAATCTTTGTATCTTCTGTGATCGTGGGAGGTGAACAAACCAAGACCAGATGAATGTTCACTCCTGCATTAACTCTAAAGCAGTGGGGCATCATGTCTTGCCATTTATACCACACATCTACTTTGCTTTACAATAAATCTTCATGAGTTGGAATTAAAGAAATCATTTGATATCCTTCCTAAACATGCATGATATCCAACATTGCTGATAAGTTTGTTCTCACCATTCACACACATTGACCGTGTTGGGTTGGGTGATTCTTTCTATACATAGTCTAGGGGTGGCAATTTTCTCCTTCCCCGATGGGTATTCGGGCTCCCTTATTCGACGGGTCAGGTATGGGGGTACTTTGGCGGGGTCGGGGTCAGGGATGGGGCTATTCTTGAATCCCTGGTTGGGTTTGGGGACGGGGATGGGGAATGCAATCCCCACCCCGACCCGACCTCGATTAATAAATATATAATTATATAATATAATATTATTTATATAATATTTATATTATAATATTATAATATTATATATTATATTGTTATTCATTTTTTTAAAGATTAAAACTTAAAAAACACAAACACTCAACACTTAGAGTCTTCGGCAGACAAAGAACTTTGAATCGTGAACCCTAGTCTTCTTCTTCCTTCGTCTTCGTCGCTGATTCATCGACTGCTGTCGCTGTCCCCACTCACCATCGGACATCGGACGTCGTCGGATGTCTATTGTTGCCGACTACCAGTCCACCACTCGAGTCTCGACAGAGGATAGAGATATTCAAAGAAGATAGAACTTAAACTCAGTTCTTCAATCTTCCTTCGACCTTCGTCTATCGGCACCGGCCACCGTCACCATCGCCCTCAGACTCTCTTTCTCGTCGCCAACCTCAACTCGCAACGGTCCTCTCTCTCTCTCTCTCTTTCTCTCTCTCTCTTTCTCACTCTCTCAGTCTTAATCTCTCAGACTCTCAGTCTCTCTTTCTCTCAACTTTGATTGATTTCCATTATATTGTAGAAAACAAATTCTAATATAGTTCAGATATTAGCATGTAGTTTGAATTAGGGCTAAAAGAAAAAAAATGCAGAATGCCTGGAATGAAGATGAGCGCCTGTCACCTAAAATGCAATATGAGATGAACCCAAATGAAATGAAACCCAAATGAAACCAATGCAGAATGCTTGGAATGTAGTATG